AGAGAGAGAGAGAGAGAGAGAGAGAGAGAGAGAGAGAGAGATATACGGGTGTCTGTTTAGAATAGAACCAAAAACATAAATGCATGAAGGATAAAAAGGGGTCAAAATGACCCTTTTGGATTCAGTGGCTCAGTGGTTTTCTTCAAATAAAATGCACCTTTTTTGTTAATAATAGAAAACAGTGCAATTTTTAATTAATAATTTATATTTGCTGCTAACTTTTGCAGATGTATATGAACATGGTTCAGCACAAGTCAAAAAACATTCAACTTGCCGTCCTCTTGTGCATTATTTATTTATTTTTGCGCTGCTCGCTTATAAGTGAGAACAGTGCCTTTCTTATTTATTATTATTTTCAACATTTGGGGGTAATAGGCCTAATCCTTAACAAATCTCTCTGTTCTTGCTGTTTTGCAAACTCTGCATCTTGGCGTTGTTCTGGCAGTCTTGAAATAGTTCCCACATATGCTGGACACTTGTTGGCTGCTTTTCATTTACTCATTTTCATTTAGAAACGTTTATTAAATCAGGTGTTGCATACTGTATGAAAGAGGCCTGATGAAGTGATGAAATTAAATAAATAGATGTCAACACAAAATATGAAATTTACAAGAAAATACAAACCCTTTAATCAATGGAGTGTCAAAGAAATAGAAATGAATGAAAAATCATGTTGGATAGTAAGGATATATGGTTTATTGTTGACATATTTGGGGAAATCAACCCAAGTGTCATGTACAATTTCGCCATCTAGTGTTCGGTGACTTAATAAAAAAGTATTAATTTATTGTCTAATTCATCAATAGCGAAGCGAACAGCTGAAGCATCGGAATGACCTATTAATATAGGCTATACACAGCAAAACCAAATAAAGATACCAATAATCTTTATTTTGTATTTTATTGTTATTTTTGTTGTTGTTGATTCCGTGCTGTTGTGTTGTGTTGTTTTACAAATCTTTTTCTTTTTTTTTAAACAATTAGTTGGAATAGCCTACCACGCTGTCGCTTTGTACATGCTGTTTTATATTGAGAAGGTTGTGAACGATTCTTTTTTTTATATATATATATATATATATATAAACGTGTTGTATTTGTTTAATTGTACATGTTTATTTTTCTTTTGTTGTCGTTGTTATTCAAATCTCTAGGTCTTGTTTTTAGGCTAATACATTGAAAAATTGTTGAAATAATAAAAAAAAGTTGCTTATAGCCTTCTTCCGGCTATAATTCTGCATTAATTTCTTATGTCTAAATACTGACAAACGCATACACACAACTGAGCACAACCATTAAAATCATCCATGCTGACCACAAGGAGCGCTTGTCATCTTTTCTTTCTTGACGCCGCAGCGCCACCGTGCGTCAAGACGCGCAGCTGCACCTCAGACTGGGATGGGCAGAGCAGCGCTGCTCCGCGCAAAAGAGCAGACGGATGTCATTTATGGAATAAATACATTGGGATTTATTAGGTAAGTGATGCACCGTGTTTTATACACTAACCAAAATTTTAATGAACATATACGGTTTTAATTTTAAGAGCAAATATTTTGCATGATGGAAATGAGTAATTGGCTGTCATGAGCTCTAGAGGCGACCGATCTGGCCTATTACGGACTGGAGGTCTCTAACGGCGTCATGAAAACAGCAGCACGCTTATTTATTTAAAAACATTTAGGCATATACATGCGTCGATATAGGCTATGGGCTGCTTCTCTTCATGAGCGTTATAGTGTAGCTAAATAAAAGCGCACCGTTATGAGAAGCGTATATTAAAATATGCGCTGGGTGTATTGAGCGACTGTCTCTTAGAATAACCATCAGATCTGTGATTACCGGTGCAGAACAAGGCCAATGCTGGAGGGCAAAGGCGGAGACTGACGCTTCGCTCACAAGCAAATGATGCGCTGCTTCTTTAGAGGATGATGATGATGATGCACATATGCATATCAGGTGATTCTAACCGAAATGTTTACGCTCAAAGGCTAAAAAACCACGCTACATTTCCATAAAATAAAATCAGGCGTACGAAGCTTTTTATGTGATATTTATTTACTTATATTTATATTTATGCATTCTATAAATTATACATTTTTCGCATTACAGAAATGAGAATGGAAGTTCTGGCATTACAGCAACGGGAAGATGTAATGACAATGTATTGATAATTGGTCTCATTTTTCTGATAAATCATCTTCTTGACATGCTCCCTTATTTGTATCTTGTGGATTGCTACAGTCATATTGGGTCATATCACTTTTCACTATGCAGTGTCCCATGGTTGGTCAGCCTGCAGTATTGGTGGCTCCCTTTCAAAACATGATTTTGGAATTTAAATTGAACTGGCCTCATCCAACAGGAAGTTGAATTGGAATTCTGTGGCAAAGTAGGCTAATTCAACTGCAATTTCAACACAAGTTCTATTCCCAAAGTTTTGTCAAGCAAACATTCAACATTGTATCAGTTAGATGGTAATACGATGGTAGGCTACTACCAGGTAGCAAAAAACAATTGTAATTCCATTTGAATTTTTGTTTGCTGTTGGTGATTAATACAAAAATATTTAGATATGTCCTTACCTTTAGTAGGTTACAGAGTCGTTCACAAGCCACAAAGATCTGGACTTCATCACGAGCAAAGAGGACATTTTTTGCACTTTGTTTTAATCGCCTATCCACATAAACCAGCGCTCTTTTGTTCTCTGAGTACTACACGTATCTGAAACAGAAATGAGAAAGCGTTCGAAACGATTCAGTGCGTGAGTAAAGTGTCCGAATTATTCGCGAGCCACTGATTCAAACGATTCAGCCCGATTTGGTGAACTGGCTCAAAAGTTTCACGGAGAAGAAACGGTTCAAAAGAACTCGTTCATGAACAGGACATCACGAATGAGGCCTTTTGATTCTAGATAACCAAACAGGCGATGTGATTGCTGAAATATTGTTTGGGAAAATGATTCGCGGGGTGGTTTTGTTACTAAGCACTTTGTTATTGGTATAGGTTTAGGTAAGCAATACTCATTTTAGATTCTCTTCGTTCCCCTTCACTGGTTGAAAGGCACATTTATAATTGCTCAAAATATTGAAAGCCTTAAAGAAGAGAGAGGTACATTGTTTAAGTTGTTAGAGGAGTCAGCTGCTTGTCTGGTGCTGGGCAATAAATTATCCTATTTTTTTCAGGAATGGAGGAATTCACTTCCACGGGGTGTATTTAGCCTCATGGACTACTCTTTAAATAAAACAAACTTATGAAATGCATTGCTCATGCTAAGCTGTATGGCTCCATTATTGTCTTAGTTAAAGGGGTCATATGATGCTTTTTTAAAGATCATTGTTTTGTGTATTTGGTGTAACAGAATATGTTGACATGCTTTAATGTTCAAAAAACACAGACTTTAGTCTTTGCAACTTCAGGGATCTTATCTAACTTGAAATCACATCATATGACCCCTTTAAGACTAGGCTCATATGTTGATGGTGTTGGCGTTGTACAGTAGATACATTACTTTATTTTCTCTATATTCACCTAACGCAAGTTGAGTTGAGCTTGTCTAATTCATTTACTGGTCAATGTTGGCAGCGGTTATTCTATGACCTGTCAGCAGAATGACCTAAAGAGAGATCAGGAGGAAAAGAGGAGGCCTGGTTAAGTCAAGATGAGTTTGACATCCTGGTTCTTGGTGAGTGGTGGGGGAACAAGGCACCGCCTTCCCCGGGAAATGATCTTCGTGGGACGGGACGACTGTGAGCTTATGCTACAGGTAACTTGATCACTGTTACTCATACACAAGCAGGAGAATCATTGTCCCTTCAAGGTTAGAGTCAGTTCTCCCTGAATCCATAACTGTGCATACTGTACGGCACTTTCCACAAACAGGGTATACTTTGGTGTCACCCATGTCTTTTGTTCTCTGAAGCTTTTATCTAACATAGCACATTATCTAACATGAAATTAACATACCATGAAAAGTAGGCAAACCAATCGAATGTTTTCACGCACTCCCAATCAATCTTGTTACCAAAACAATTTTTCTTTAATTTATGAGAAAACTGGTGCCAAACAAGTTAAGCGATCACTTATTTTGTACTCTATTTGTGTAAAGTGCCATGCAGAAATTTGCTCAGAATTCAAACATAATTTCCTCCAGCCCACCTTCAACTAGAACCAGCATCCATTAATCTGTTATACAGCGTATTATTTATTCCCACAATGCGTTATCTTTTCTTTAAATTCCAGTCTCGTAGTGTAGACAAGCAGCATGCTGTCATCAATTATGAAGTAGCTACGGATGAACATAAAGTTAAAGACCTGGGCAGCTTGAATGGGGTGAGAAATGTGTCCATTCATAATAGATATTAATTTTGTCTTCACTGGTATGATGGAAAGCATATGGTGAAAGCTGACCTCCTTTTCTCTTCTGTAGACGTTTGTTAATGATGTACGTATACAGGAACATCAGTATATTACTTTGAAAATGGGTGACAAGCTACGGTTTGGTTACGATATCCTTTCATGTGCAAAATAAATCACATTTTGATTGTTTGGTTTGATTTGTTACACTTTAGTTGGTTTATACAACCACAGTATAACATATTTGCTATGCAAAGACAAAAGTATATAGTGTACTATGTAATAATGATTGGACCAATTCTTTTGATGCATTTGCATTTCTATATACTGTATATATATATTGTTTTCTCCTTAATCCATCTTACATACCAACCTATTCACTGCTGTGCGTGGAGAGTTACATGTTCCAGAGGAAGCACTGAAGGTAATAAAAATGCAGCTTAACAGAAGCGTTCGAAAATTTGGGGTTTAAGAAATTAATAGCTTTATTCTGCAAGGATGCATTAAACTGATCCAAAGTGACATTAAGACATTTATAATATTCAAAAGATTTTTATTTTAAATAAATGCTGTTTCTTTTGTGGAATTTTCTATTTATCAAAAAATCATCAAAAAAAAAAAAAGTATCACAGTTTCCACAAAAATATTAAGCAACACAACTATTTTCAACATTGATATGTTTCTTGAGCATCAAATCAGCATTTTAGAATGATTTCTGAAGGAAATTTTTTTGTGAGTGAGTGAGATGAATTAATGCATATTCATATTTATTTTAGAACTACAGTAACATCTGATTTCTCTCAACATGGAGACAGGAGAGCTGTCAATCAATAAATTGGAAAAAAAAGTAACTTGCGTTACTTATTTGAAAAAGTAACTCAGATATTCTCTTGTAAATTAAAAAGTAATGCGTTACTTTACTAGTTACTTGAAAAAAGTAATCTGATTACGTAACTCGCGTTACTTGTAATGCGTTACCCCAACACTGGGCACAAAGGTGCATCTTTTGAAAAGGAACTGGCCCAGTGACAGCATTTGTACCTTTTTTCTGAGAGTGTACATTGTTGTCAAGTTAATTTGGTCAGATTTCATGAATTTAATTTTACTATGCGTTCATGCAGGCCGTAAGGAAACTGCAACAAAGCCTCAGGTAGGGCCAGGATCTACAACGCCGAATTTAGGGACCCAGGAACCAAGCTACTTTGAGATCCCCTGTAAGGAGACTCCTCCAGTAGGGGGAGACACAGGCGAAAGCCTCCCTACTAGTTTAGAGGCAGTTGCCTCAGCTTCCACAATCCCCGCGTCGGAGGGCGGAGCACATGGACATGCCTCCTTCACTATAGAGTTTGACACAGTGGCTTCAGGGAAGGGCAAAGAGCGAAATTCAAAGGGATCTCAAGACCATCAACAGCGGCCGAAAAGGGGGGCAGGGGAGGAGCTGAGTGCCTTGCAGGCTGCCATGGTGGCAGCGGAGGTAAAGGTGGCAGACTGGCTGGCACAGAATGAGCTGCCATTAGCTCACTCTGAATCTGTTGCTGAGGATGATGGAGACAGCGTGAAGAGTGATGTGCCGGTTCAGCTGAGGAGTCTTAGAGGTAAGGTGAAGTAGTGAGGAGTTACTGTTGAGTCTGTTCGGATGATGCTGTGTATAAGGGTCAGAAATGAATAATAAAAGTGTCTAGATGTTTTAAAACATATATTTCAAGGTAAAAAGTAACAAAAAATTAAATATGATGAATTTTAAATATAATATGTAACATAATGTATAATACATAATACCAATTTAATACATACATATCATTACCTTGTCTGATGAGTTGCACCACATGACATTTTACAACTGGAAATAACCTTGTCTTGTCATTTAAAAAAAAGTCAAATTATCTGATACACTGTAAAAAATGATTGTGATTTTAACAGTAATAGACTGTAAAAATGCTACAGTAAAAACCTGTTAATTGGTTAACAGTAATTTCTGTAGTGAATAACTGTAATTACATTTAATATAATTTTACAGCAAGATACTGTTAAAATTACGGTTTTTAGAAGGGAAAAATAACAAGTCATTGTATAATTTACAGTGAAAAACCATAAATTGACATTCCCACAATTTCCTGCATGACACTCTATATTTGATGTTTTTCCGTCAAAATAACTGTTTCCTGCATGTATATTGCATTATTTCAGTATCATGCGTGTTACCATGATGGTGTTTAGTATTTGTGTGAATGACACTGTGCACCTTCTATATATAAATATTTCCCTTCTCAGATTGTAAGAGCTGCTTGCGATGAGCTTTGATTTATCATGTGACTTTTTCATCGTTTTCGTTTTCTTTTGGTGGCTGTCAGTGTATTACAATGGTACACAACAGGTTTTAGTTCTTCAGTACGTTGGTATATTAACATTATATCAGTAAATTAAATACTGTTTTTATTTTTTTACTGTGATTTTAAGATAAGTCTGTAAAACCTAAAATGTTGCTACCATATTTTTTACGGTAAAGTTCTGGCAACCATAGCTGCCGCAATTTTATTGTAAATGTCACTGATTTTTTACAGTATATTTTAAGAGTCTGTGACACAGAGCCACAAAGGTCTGCATGTGTCTTCTGTACAGTAGTTAGTAGTCTAACAGTTTTGTTTTCCTTAATTAAGAATTTTATTAGAGGTTTTATTAATTTCATATTTTTTAATGAAGCATTCTTTATCAATATCAGGACAGTTGTGACACTTTTAATTTTTTTTACTAAATGACACCCTTTATAAAGCTAAATACATTTTTGTTCAGAAATGAGGAATAATTTATTGTATGAAAGAATTGCATTTTTGTGTATTTTTTAATAAATTAATAGATGCTGACAAAAAATGATTGGAATATCTTTGACCTATGAATGATGAAATGCCATTGGCTGCAGTCACAAGCGATTGGTCACTTGCTTTCGACCATCCTTCTGTATGTTTCTCTCCTTCTTTTCCAGGCAGTAAACATGAGGATGGCACACAGAGTGACTCAGAGAATGCACTGGGAGAGCAGCTCAGTAGCCGGAGGGCGTTCCTGCAGGAGCGTTACCAAGGAAGGCAGGGCGTGCAGAGGACAGAAGGGCCTTTCTGTGGGAGGGAAGATCTCTTCCAGCACAAACCATCATCTGCAGCTAAAAAGATGGCACCAGTAAGGGGTGAAGTTGGCAAAAGAGCTCACCGTTCTTCGCCACAGAAAGACAACGTGCCCAGAGAGCAAAGCACTGTGTCTCAAGAGACACCAAATAGGGGACATATAGATGACCAAAGTGATAGAGGGACCTACACCATTGAGCTGGAAAATGGCAGTGCTGAGGAGGAAGAGGCCAGGCGTATGATTGATAAGGTAGACCTGCAGAAGCTTAGAAATTATGTTTTCTTTTATGCTTGAAGATGTCAAAAGTGATAGACTTGGAATCCTTTGTAAAATAGCAGTCAGTCAGTTGCTGATATGCAATAATGATGCTGTGAGCTATGTTTCAGGTTTTTGGGGTGGAGGATAACCAAGCCCTGACTAAACTGCGTTTTCCAAAAGACCAGAGAGATAGAGGAACCATCTGTCCAAGATCTGGGGCAATGGAAACCAGACAAGCTGGTTATGTCGGTGCAGAGGTATATCAGTAATAACTGGCATACATTTCTGAAGACATTATAAAATCCTTGAAGATATTCGATATCAGTTTCAAAAGACACTATGTGGTCTTCTTGGAACAACAAATCTTTCCAAGTTGTCTCAATCATTTGTTTCTCAGATTAAAAAAAGCTCAAAATTACCGTCCATTCTTATTTTAAGGTGCTACCAGATGACTTGGTTGTAGTAGGCGGTCCAAGGTGGGTCTCACAGTGGGCTAGTCTAGCTGCAAGCCATATACGGACCGATCCTGAGGGATCCGGGGCTGAACCCACCATGCTTCCCTCAGATGAAAAAGGTTCAAGGGCTGTCAAACATCTAAAACACTTTGGTTTTGTATTACAGTTAGATTTTGACAGATTTCCTTTTTTTCAACAGCTGATATCAGTGCATCTGAACGTAAAAGAAGGACCCTCCCGCAGCTTCCCTCTGAAGATTCTGCTATGGATCCACTGACTCCTGAGGGCACACGGAGCCAATCCAGGCAGAAAGTCCCTTCATCAGAGAAACAGGATCTAGAAGTTCAGGAGAAAGTAGATCAGCTCAATAGAATCTCTAAAACTGGGCAAAGAGTTTCAGGAATGACTTCAGCTAGCACAGACGTAGACCGGTGCAAAGTGAACAAGCCAACTCCGCCCAGAATCCAGAGTAAAGTCAGTCAACAAGGAGCTCAAGCTACACAGATCGAGAAGAAACAAGATGATGGGAGACGAAAGAAAGTAGATGAGGACCGAGAGAAGACAGACAAGCCGCTACTGAGGCAAGAGAGCTTTACAGTGGAGCAGCCGAGTGCAAATGTCCCCCTAGAACTCATACCTTGCATCGATGGGCCCAGTGCCCCAACCCATCCCAGGGAAATGGGAGTCATCAATGAGGGCATTGATGCTGCCACCATGCTAAAAGACTCAGAGGCTGTGGCTGCTTTTCTGGAAACCACTTTATCAGACCTTGCAGACCCACTGAGCTACTCCCTGGAGGGGTCTGTATCACCTGAATCTGACATTGATACGACAAGCACAGTCAGCCAAGCCGGAGGAGAAGGAGGGCGCAAGACAGCCCAAAGGAAAAGATCAGCTGGAGGTTCAGGCCGTGAAACAACCAATAAAAACACCAGTGCCACAGAAAGAAAAGGCAAAGCTCAACCCTCTAGTTCCAGGGCTTGGACGTCTCTCGACCTGACAGACGATGACTTGAGCTCTTCTCTAATCCATGACGCTTCGGTGAAACGACCTCAGGGTTGGGGTCAAAATACCAGCTCTAAGGCAGAGCCAACAAGTGGCAAAACCAAAGGAGCAAAGACGACTGTAGCTCCTGCACCCACCAGCTCTAAACCAACCACCCTTCCACGACCCAGACCCACACGGGCTTCTCTTCTTCGCCGTGCACGACTGGGCGAAGCTTCTGACACCGACATCGCTGATGTCGATCGTATGTCTGTTGCTTCAGAGGTCTCTACCGCCAGTTCTGCATCGAGGCCTTCGGCTGGGCGCAGGACCCTCTCTCGAATTGAAGCGCTTGCCCAGCCACGGAGGCCACGAGTGGGCTCTCCTTCAGCTCGGAGTGACTCAGAAGCTACATCAGGCAAGATCAGGGGCTTCGTCCCACGCCCTGCCCCAGAAAGCACACTGCGGCTTGGCCTCCGCTCTACAGCGGCCTCTTCCTCTGTTGCGGTCCCCAGAGCAAGAGCTAACAGCGCTTCCAAACTGCCCGATAAGTGTCCTGGTACTCCATATGTTCAAAGTACACCTGCAGGTCAGACTTTTGGGTAAAAATGTACTAGAAGGGATAACTGGCTAAAAATGTTTCAATTAAACAATCTTGTTCTGTTATACGTCTTCCTTATAGCTGGTGGAAGGTGGCGCCGGGTACCTATCGAATACGCTTCTACCTCAGAGGATGAATATGGATCCAACCGTCACCCCACTCAACACACTCGCCCGCGTCCAATAGCTCCACGGGTGACGCAGCTAGGGGGTTCAGCCCCTGCAACACCCAGCCCTGGAGGCATCTCCATGTTACGACACCAGTCTAGCAGAGAACAGGATGATTACATGAGAGATTGGACCGCCCACAGTGAGGAGATCGCCAGGTAATAACTAACAGCAAGTGCTGGGCAAGCTACTCAGAAATATAGCTAAAATGTGATTTGTTCAATTGCCTGTTTATTAAAAAGAAACATGCCCAACAGAGGTGTAAAAGTATCATATTGCAGTTGGTTGTGCATGTTTGTCTATTGAGGTGATATACAGTAGTAATAATAATGTGACATTACCTCACTGTGTACTGTCAGAGCAAAACATTTCTATAGGAAGCCAGCATAAAATTCTATTTAAAAGAGTTTTTGTTGGATGTGCATGTGTTTTCTCAGCGTGCAAAGAGTCATTTATACTACCATTCAAACATTTGGGGCCAGTAAAATTTGTCAAGTTTTGGAAAGAAGTTTCTTATGCTCACCAAGGCTGCATTTATTGAATCAAGAATACAGTAACAACAGTTGTAAAAATATTATTACAATTTAAAATAACTATTTGTTATTTTAACATATTTTAAAATGCAATTTTCAGCAGCCACATGATCACATGATCCTTCATAAATCATTCTAATATGCTGATTTGGTTCTCATTTTGGTGTCTTGGTTGTGCTGCTTAATATTTTTGTGGAAACTATTTTGATTAGAAAGCATTTATTTGAAATAGAAATGTTTTGTAACCTTATAAATGTCTTTACTGTCACTTGTCACACAATTTAACACATCTTTGCTTTTAATGTCTTTAAAACAAATCGGTAGCACTTAACAGTAAGGTTCCAATTGTTAACTACATTAGTTAGCATGAATTAACAATGAAAAATACTTGCAAAGTATGTATTAATCTCAGTTCATATTAATTGCAACATTTACTAATACATTATTAGAATCCAAAGTTTTGTCTGTTAATATTAATGGGCCTGAGCTAACATGAACTAACAATGAACAGTTGTACTTTTTTAATTAACATTAACAAAGATGAATAAATACTGTAACAAGTGTATTGCTAATTGTTAGTTAATATTAGTTAATGCATTAATTAACATTAACTAATGAACCTTATTGTAAAGTATTACCAAAACAAATCTTACTAACCCCAAACTTTGGAACAGCAGTGTATGTTGGAACAACTCCAGCTGATTCAAACTCAAACTAATAGCTTGTATCAGATCTGTAGCCTTGTGGGCAGCGATCCGACATATGGTGCAACCGCACTGCAGGTCCTTTCCTGATCATGTTCTGCTCTCTCCTCTCCAACTACCACTAATAGCTTCTTCATCTTTGATGCTACTCTCCATCACTGCTTATGCCTTAAAAAGTCTTATCAACTATCTTTGTATTACAAGCAAAATCTACTTTTACTCATAATACAAAGGACTGATCTAGTAAATGATTGATTTAGATCATTAATCTTTGGTATTCTTTTGATTGTTACAGAATCAGTCAAGACCTGGCTAAAGATCTGGCCATGTTAGCGCGTGAGATTCATGACGTTGCCGGAGAGATTGACTCTGTTAGTCCTTCCTCTGCTCCCGCAGCTTCAGTGAGAATACAACAATATCATTACCAGAGCCTTTTATATATGTATATGGACCATTTAATTCTTTGGTGCCTGTAGAGATCTATATCAATACATATCGACAAGGCTGTGAAGGACTTTGGTTTTGCATACTGTGCATTGTTCACAGAATTAATTCAGTAGTTAATTAAATGTGTGCTGGCATGTTGATGGTTTAAGAGATCATGATTCAATGCTATTCATTTTTAGAATATAGGATGATAGGCATGACAATAATGCATGCATGTGGACATGCTTTGCCAGTAGTGCATTCAAACGTTGTTTAAATACTGGATTTTTAGATGTTTATTTGACGTTTTTAATGTAGAAAATAACAAAAGATTACTGCAGTGTGTAATCAGAGATATAAGCAATCATCTTTCTGTCACTCTCAGGTTGAGGACCGTGTGTTTGAGGATGTTCTGGGCAGCGCTCCAGAGATCAGTGGCAGAGGTGTGGAACTAAGATCTCGCGGTGCTGTGAGCAGTCAGGATTCCCGCGCCATCCGCCGCAGGACCTGGAGCAGAGAGGAGGTCAATCTTCTGAATCTCAAAAATCTTACAGCTTGTACCCTGTTGGTTAACATCATGATTACAGTTTTTGTTGATCGCTTTGGTACTAATTTCACAAGTAAGGTGTACTTTTTCAAAACTCTTAGTACAAAAATCCAAACTGATCACACTTGTAACACAGCTTGTCATTCTTTCAAAACCTGATGTAATGCTTTTATTCAGTTGCACATATTTTCAGTCCACATAATCACTGTTTCAAACACAAGATTATTGTAATATGTAATGACAACATTTGGTTTAATCACCGAAACACAACAGTATGATCTTCTTTCAGTTTAGTACTTTTAACAATCAGTTCATTTAATAGCAAACAATACAAGATACGTGTTTCAAATCGGCCTTAGTGCTGAAATTAGTATGCTACAGTACTGTAAAAGACAGATTACACAGTTTTCACATTAGGCAATACACTTACATTACCCAACTTTTACAGAATCTATAATTTCCATAATATCTATCTTATGTGTAATCAAGTGAAGGATCAATGAAGACATCCTCTCCAATCATATGGGCAAATTTGTTTTTATTTTTCAGATATAATTGCTTGTCCACGAGCTCTTCCTATTCCTTGCTGTCTATCCTGCTCCATGTTGAAAGAAATTTCCAGTGTTTACACCCCCACTTTTATATATAGTGACCAATTGTGATTACCACTATGTGAAATCAATTAGCAATAATGAGTATTCATCATGTGTGGTTACATGTACTTTCGATGTTTGTACAAACACACATTTTATTTGTGTAGTTCTTGAAATCCATATACTGCATAGGTAACAAACCAATTTAAAATGTATAGGTTTACCAAACGATCGGTTACTGGAACTAGAAGCTCCAATTTATTTTGTCACTTATGTTCCACAAGAGGGCGCTGTGTTTATTTGTTGTTATAACAGAAAGCGGTATCTTAACATGTGTCTCTTAATGCATCTTATTTCCTACTGTGACAGCATAACAAAAGTGCCACTCTCTGCTTATTCTGCATTCACAGGGTGTGCTGGACAGTTTGCTGTTGGCATCGGTCTCCCAGCTCTCAGCAAAAATCAAACAGGCCCTGGAAAAGACAGCCAACAAAATCAGGTACACTGCTTTTGCACCCCAGAAAATGTGCATAGCTTTAGTTTTTATAAAGACTGTGAATGTAATGTAAATTTACTATCATTAATTATTTAAAAAAAAAGATTATGTAATAATTTAAAAAATATTTTCATAATTTTAATCAATTATTGTGTAATCCGTTTGATTTCAAAATTTAATCAACTGACTGCCCCTTTTTATTTGAATTCTTTGCATTTTATGTGCAAGTCTTCAGGGAATATTTATGACAGCGATCCTTGTGCATCTTTGACCTTGACTTGATATGTTTTTATTATGTGCAGCATTCATAGTTTTAGTTCTGGGAGGTTTTTTGGAAGGCCACATTTGTATGTATTACCGTTCATGCAGGATTTTATTCAAAGACAAGGACCGAAAGTGGGAGGAGATTGAAAGCAAACTGCAGGCAGAGAATGAGGTGCCTCTCCTCAAGACCTCTAATCAGGTGAGAATAACATATTTATTTATTTCAAATTAAATATTTAATTCGTTTGAAATAATCCAAAAAATGAAAGAAAAATAGGTCATAGGATACAAAAATGTATCCCAGAATTACCTTTCTTGTTTGTTGTTTTAGATAAAAGTAAATCATTGTAAGTCGTTTTGGGTACGATGAATAAAATTAAAGAAAAAAACTCACTTTGCCTGAATTTAATGGTTAAGTGTGTTGTAAGTAACATGGTAGCAAATTCAGGCTAATAAATAAATTCAAAATATATACATACATATACATTAGATAGATAGATAGATAGATAGATTGATTGATTTTGGAATCAGATTGATTATTCATCCATTGACGTTAAAGCTCTCCGGATGTTTTGGTAGATTTCAGAGTTCATACATCACAGCCGCTTCAGCTGAGGATCTCTCAGTTTAATTAGACTGAGCTTTTGACTCATGGTTTGTCACGGTTCAGATTAGGCCTGAGGCGCACCACCTCTGCTCAGTGGCAGGCCAGTAAATCTAACGCTGTAATGCTGAACTTACATTGCGGAACTTCTGAAATGAAGAAGCAGTGGAGGAGCACAAATGACCACAGCAGCCAAACATAAAATTGAACATTCACTGCTAAAATATTTATATAATCATTTTAACCAAAATCACGTCAGTGTTAAGAAACTGAAATGAAAAGCTACAGATACATTATTAAAAAAAATGAAAAGTTCATAAAAAGTTTAGAAAAGTTAATTTGCTTATATCTAAGTTCTGGCAGCCATTGATGGTTTTCTATTGACTCATTTTTATTTGATCACTCTCAGGAGATTTCCTCCATACTCCAGAATCTGAAGAGAGTGGAACGACAGCTGCTAGGTAAGCAGTACTGAGATGTTCTGCTCTTGTTCATACTTTTAATGTCTGCCATGCAATATCCTCATGAGACCCCCCAAAAAAAGTTTTTGGTATTTTGGTACGTTATAGTGTAACTTTAGTATGATGTGAAAAAAGGTTGTTTTTTTTTGTTGTTGTTTCTTTCTATTTTTTAAATATATATATACACAGTATAAAGGTAGACTATTATAAACCTTTTCCTTTTGTCTAAGTGTTTACTTGAAAGTCTATAGTGTGTGATCCTCAATTTTTTAGTGAATGTTGCCCAGTTTTTCTCTGTAACCATTTACAAAGTCAGCAGGTGTATGATGCATAGTGTTCTGAAATCTGTTCAGATTTTGAGTCATGCAGCTTAGAGAACTTTATTTGGCATCATTACCAAACCACTAAGTTTTTGTTAACTGTAAAACAGTTATTTATAGATAAAGAAAGAAAGAAAGAAAGAAAGAGAAAAAGAAAGAAATAATTATTATTAAAATCTACCGTTTGGGGCTGGTAAGATTAATGTTTTTGAAAGTGATGTTTTTGAAAGAAGACTCTTACGCCCACCAAGGCTGAATTTATATATCAAAATTACAGTAAAGACAGTAATATTGTGAAATATTATTACAATTTGAAAAAACTGTTTCCTGTTTGAACACATTTTAAAATGCTACCGTAAAACTGAATTTTTAGTAGCCATTACTCTAGTCTTCAGTGTCACATGATCCTTTAGAAATCATTCTATTTTAAACAGTTGCACTGTTTAAAACTAAAAAAAAACTTTCTTATGTAGTGTACACACAAGTTTGTTGACTGCTAGTTAATCTGCAATGGTAATGACATATTTCACTGTTTGGAGAAAAAGTAATAGGTAAGTAATAAGTATTTTAGTATGTAGCATTTGAGTTTATATACATGATTTACTATGAAGTCATATGGAAGGAAAGATACAATCTTTGCGCTTATTTTTTTCTTTTGTCTTTTTTCTGTATTTTTGTATGCACACTAGAGTATATAAATAAAGTGACGTGACATGTGGCCAAGTATGGTGACCCATACTTGGAATTAGTGCTCTGCATTTAACCCATCCAAAGTGCACACACACAGCAGTGAACACACACACACCGTGAACACACACCCGGAGCAGTGGGCAGCCATTTATGCTGCTGCACCCGGGGAGGAGTTGGGGGTTCGGTGCCTTGCTCAAGAGCACCTCATTCGTGGTATTGAAGGTG